CCCCCCCACTGTTGTTTCTGTCTGTGTGAGTGGTTGGAGGTTGCTTCTTGCGGGTCTTACTTCATTTCTCCTCTCTGTTGTAACTGTCCTTCTGTACAGGTACTTTCCTGCACTTAAAGGTGTAAATAAGTACATGGTCGTTATTGTGTCAATGTGGATTTCTCTAACTTGAACTCAAACTCAAACCCAAATCGAAACCAAAACTCAAACTCAGACTTTTTCTATTAAGTTGAGCTTTGTGAACAAACTAATTAGCTCTTTAAGGAAGTAGCGAATATATAGAACCAGTTTGTCCGATGAGCTCCAGAATGTGGACAAAATATGAGACACATTTGGAATGATCAGATACATAACTTATCAGAAACATAATGTACATTTGTTTAGTTGCATATTTCATGTACGACGCATGCTGTTGCCTGACGTTTATAGCTTCAGATGTTGTAAAAACGGAATTGAAAATAAAAACATGTGTGTATAAAGAACTTATGCTTCTTTTATTTCAACGCCCCATAACACTGTGCCCCCTACAGTTTTCAAAGGACCAGAATGTGTCGTGAATGAGTTTACACATGAGCGTGATCAACCTGTGACCCTAGTGTGCTTCGGACCATTCATTGACGTTTTATCATCCGTGACCAACAATGACAATATTTTATGTTCCGCTTGCCTCAACCCCACTTGCTCCCCTTTATTTTCATTGTAGACACATTGTCATATTCCAGACCCGCACGTGTTTCGATACACAATAATACAGATACATGTTAGTTGATGTCTGATCGGAATACTTTTGATGTTATGAGCAATTGGTCCCAAGTGCTATTGAAGTGATAGTTGGTTCGTTTCGTGCTGTTGAACCTGGAAGTCAGAAAGCGTCGTGTATTAACACAATGTTCAAAGATCTGAACCTGCTGAGATTTCTCATCAACATGTCTGTCCTGTTGACTTGGTTTAAATGGAAAGTAAACGGATTTGTTAAGTTAAGAGCTTCGATAATGAGATGCAAAAATCGGCTAAAGATTATGAACAGTATGGTTTTATGAAAAAATAAAACAACAACAACAACAAAACTCAACAAAAACCAAAAAAATACAAATACAAAAATAAAAACGCCTTAACCTGGATTTTTACACTTTTATTTACATTTTTATTTATTTTTTAGATCAGAGAAATGGAAAATGATTTGAAAGCGGATGAAACAATTTCTTGAGAATGTACCTTCACAAAGACATGAACAGAAGGGAGGCGATTGTCACTTTATTCACTGTTAGGAGAGGAATTAGGAATCTAAACATTGCTGTTGTGTTTCAGCTATAGTCTTCGTGTTTCCGAGCAGTTTCTTGTTGTTTAAGTTTGATTATACTGAAGCTCATTCACATCGTGACAGTCTTAGTATACTGCCGGGTAGAAGCAAAACAGATAGACGGAGGCGTCAGACAGAGGGAAAGAAAATAAGTAGGACCAATTAGTGGCACCCTCCAACCGCCTGCTTTCTTTCTCTTATATAAATAACCTGAATACAATATAAAATAATAATACAATGCTTTCCACGTGGATTTAGCTCGACAGGCAAGAGGTTAGGGCTTAGGCTATAATGTTTTGCTTCGACCTTCACTGCAGGCGCAACTTAATTATTGACGAGTCTTGGCGTCACTTCATCTTTGGAATACATTTACTAAATGAGGATACAATAAATACATTTAAAAATTCACCTTTATTACTCCCCTTGGGAAATGTGTTTTACATCAATACAAAAATACACGAATACACAATTTCATTAATACATAAATGCGTGAATAAAGCACCACATCACAAGTACTCTCATGTATAGACGATTCACACATGATTGCTTGTCGCCGCTGCGCTGCGCTTTGTTTTTAAGCTAGAGATATCGTGTGCTGCTCATAGACACAGTTCAGTGATCACCCACCTACGGCCCCTGTCGTCGACATGACATGCTTTTGTCCCTGCAGGTTGGTTTGGAAACAAAGCGCAGTCGCTCACATTTATATAAATGGTGGGATTGGAAAGGAAAGGCTCAATTCTGGATTGTTTTATTTTCGTGCTATGATCGTTTAAGAAGCCTTAAAGTGTGCGACTTCTTCTAAAAAATGTGACGCAAAAGTCTATGCTACCAGAAGTAATAATAATAATAATAGATAGCATTTGTATATATATATATATTATATCACATCGTTATGAAATCAAGCTGCGTTATGAACGGTGAAATCGAATAATCTGACTTGTTCTTCCCTACGGTCTGGATTTTTTTCTGACCGAAGTTTGGACAAAGCCTGGAAAGCATGATTATTGTGACACATTTCCATTGGACTTCTGGCTACCTACGCGTTATTGAGAACGGGCGCTCCGTTATTGCAACTGGTGTCATTGTGGGCAACGGAGCGAATGACCCTGGTTCGAATCTCAGACAGGGCAATCTTGCACTCTGGTCGTTTTGTGGAGTATTTCAAGGCTGTCAGCCCATTGGCTCGGTCATCTCGTAGACGGACGTTACATTTGGAGGTCCTGTCTCTTAAATAAACCAGTACAATGTTGATATAGGCGTAAAATCCATAGATGTCTGATACCAGTCTGGCCAAGGAAAGAAAGCTGAGCAACCATCCCACCTTAACAGACTAATGAGCTACTAGTTAATGATGGAGGCCATATGTTTATAACAACTTTATTAAGAGAGACCCTGCTGAAGACATGTGGTGATTTATGGATGGGAACAAAATCTGGACTCAAGTATAGAAGTAATCACTTGTAATATTTGAGGATTAAAAATCCCGCAACAACTTTATTAAGAGAGACCCTGCTGAAGACATGTGGTGATTTATGGATAGGAACAAAATCTGGACTCAAGGATAGAAGTAATCACTTGTAATATTTGAGGATTAAAAATCCCGCTCAGTTATTCACTGCAAAAGTAATGTGCACCTCTTCTTTTCTTTCCAGAACCTTAACAGAATCGTCACCGCCAACTAAACAGCCATTAAACAGCGGTTTAAAAACTTGTGAACGGTAAGTCTGTTTGTTTGCTTGTCTTAGTTATTCTAAATAATGTGGGTTTGTTTTCTTTTGTTTAAATTCGTTAAGAATTGTCTAATGGGCGGAAAATGTCGGTTTCTTCCTTTCATTATTTGGACAGGACCCTTATAATATTCCACCATGAATGGTGCACATAATTGTGTTTTGGGGGCAACGAGAACGCAGTCAGCTAAAGCACCATTGAACCCAGCCGGGCGTTTTCAGAGATGCAACCAATTTCTTGTCAAACGATATTTTATACTTTAAACCAGTTCCAAAGACAGAGGGGTAAGGGATGTGGCTGAAAGAGGAATATTAATCGATGTCAGTGACCACATTATTCGAGTGAAGGACAGGTGCTTTATTGTTGTTGTTATTGTTGTTGTTGCTGTTGCTGTTGTTGTTGTTTTTGTTGTTGCTGTTGTTGTTGTTGTTGTTGTTGTTGTAGTCCCAATATCTCCTTGCTTCCCCTCCTACCATTGTTTTCTTGTCCTGCGCCTGTTCCTCCTCCTCCTGGTCTTCCTCCTCCTCCTTCTTCTTCTTCTTCAAAAAAAAAAAAAAAAGAAAAAGAAAGAAAGCGTGATTTTCTTTCCCTCGATAACCGTTTTGTCCTTCTCTGTTGTGATCTCTATATTGTCGTAGAGTTTCTTCCTGGGACAAATGAACAGTTTCGTTTCCTTTTATTAGAGTAGGTGTTTTATAGCACCAGCGACACATATTTGGTCATGTAAGCGTCAGATGAACAAGAAACTTTGTTTTCTGAAACAGATTTTTATTCCGATTTTGCTTTATGAATTATGGAAAGGCCATTTTGTCGAAGTGTTCAATTTTACAATTTTAGTACGCCCTTCATTCAATTCTGTTCTATCTGTTTCTCTATTTTTTTCCAACTTTATGATGCCGTTTGATCTTTCAAAACCAGCCTGTTTTCATAATGTCTAAAACTATCATGAATTGGAATGAAAATGTCAAACTCATCAGAAAAGACACAGACAGAACAACAACAGACAACAAAGACGAACTAGACACTGGCCATTTTTTAAAAGAGATCATGAAATGAGTACGCCAGCAAAATGTCTATCTGTTCTTGGTTAGGAAAACAATGTTTATTTTCCAGAAAATAAAAATAAAACTGCTTCATTTTTACAAATGTTACCTAACCTATATTATGCATTATACAAGTCTGGATGCCTTCCGGTACCTTTTCTTTTGTGTGCATTTATTTCAGCCCACCCTTAACCTGCCCACTCCCTCACCCGTTATTTTATAAGGGTTGTAATCAGATTAGAAAGCAGGTTTGGCAATGAAAGGGTTTAGACAAGTCAGATCCCAGCGGGGATTATGTCTGCGACAGACGAGAGAGTTTATTAGGTCAAGACCTTGTGTGATAGCATGCCATAGACACCGATTTAACCCCCAACTCTCGAGAACAGAACCCAGTGATCTCCCCGGGAACTGCTGAGAGATAATCTGCTGATGATGGCAGCGCTTTGGTACATTCAGGAAAACTTTGAGAACGAGATGAAGGGGGGAGTGGTTCGACGAGGGAGAGGGAGGGAGGGGGGTGGTTTGAGGAGGAGCCGTGAACGTATTGCTTAATACTACGGCTTGCCAGCGTTGTTACCCGGCGCTCTTTTTTCTTCATTTTTTTGGACACAGTTGAAAAATTACAATTTGCGATCACGTATTTTTCCAAACGAGGCAGTAAATGGCACCCAGTCACGGTCTTGGTAAATCTCCTCCTCTCACCAACAAGACCAAGTCACCCGAGATTGGGCGATATCGCCCCGGGTGCCGACATTTCTTTATACCCACAAGTCTCGTGTATCTTTTTGGTATCATTCATCCGGTAACCGTAAACATACTGACATACTGTGGGAGACCAGTCTCGTACTGTGTGGCAAGTCTGTTGAGTGTGAAAAGACTTTCTTTGCCAGCAAGTTGTACTGCTTTTCAGTCCAGAAATTGACTTTTTTTTCAAAGAAAGAGGGAAAACTGTTTCGTGTTCATACTTTTAAAAATTGTACCTTCTTTACCTATTCTTTATTGCTTTTTTTCAACATTCAGAATCTGAATTGGGATGAAATATTTCTTGAGCACATACATCGGTACCACAGATTATGAAACTGGAATTTTTTTTTAAATGATCATAAGCTAATGACTTCGTGCACCTGAGTAGTTGGCCGACGATTTCTTTTCTTTTCAATTTATAAACTAAGTTCACAACATTATCAGCATTGTTGATAGAGCTTAGGAGTATTCATGAATGTCTGAATAAAAATACAAGTAAGACAGTATTAGACAGGAAAAAAGGTGCCAAAAAATCGTATGCGTAGGAGAACGATTTAATTGTATCATGGCTCCCTCTTCCTCCTACCCCAAACACACTTACCTACACATCCTTACACATAAACATACACATACTCATACCGATACCTATAAACATAACCATAAACATACGCATACAGAAACACAAACACATGCACACATACATACACGCATTGTCCATACCAAAGTAAACATATCAGAAAGTCGACAAATCAACTGGGTGTTATCACTAAAATGAAGCAATGGGCCTGTGTTATCACAAACTAATCAGCCTGGTCATAAGTGAGAACACGCCATCATTGTTCTCGAGCAAGATAGCGCTCAGTTTGTGAACATTATTTTTGGTGAACTCTTAAAGGATACGGCAGACATTTATATCAGAATATCCTTAGACCGAAGTAAATCAATCAGTCAGTCAATCAATCAGTCAATCAGTCAATTAATCAGTCAATGAGTCTATCTATATATCTATCTTTCTATCTATCTATCCATCTATAAGTATGTATGTATGTATGTAGGTGTGTATGTATGAATGTATGTATGTATGTATGTATGTATGTATGTATGTATGTATGTATGTATGTATGTATGTATGTATGTATGTATGTATGTATGTATGTATGTATGTATGTATGTATGTATGTATGTATGTATCTGTTTATCTATCTATCTATCTATCTATCTATCTATCTATCTATCTATCTATCTATCTATCTATCTATCTATCTATCTATCTATCTATCTATCCTATCTAACGATTGATCGATCGGATCGATCGGTCTGTCTATCTGTCTGTCTGTCTGTCTGTCTGTCTGTCTGTCTGTCTGTCTGTCTGTCTGTCTGTCTGTCTGTCTGTTTCTCTCTCTCTCTCTCTCCCTCTCTCTCTCTCTCTCTCTCTCTCTCTCTCTTTCTCTCTCTGTCTAACTAACGTCCAAAGGTTGAAGCCTCTGATATCTGATGCGTTTTTCAGTGTCTCAATTACTTTAACTGCCTCATTCGATGTCCCATGAAAAGCACAAGAAGACATTATCCTATCGGTGTACTTTAGGAGCAGGTTTTTATGTGGGTGTGCCAGAACAAACAACGTTTAAAAAACGCGTGAGATTACAGCCTGCTTAGTGTCATCAAGGAGACATGGCGGTGTGCATGGCTGATAAAAGAGATAGTCACTCTGCACCGAACAAGTCGCCGTATTCATACTGCCTAAAGCACTGTGCACATTGGCAATCGGATTAAATCTAATTGAGTCAGAGCCAATTCATAAGATTTTCCATCTTAAGGTTTTGGGGATGGGGTTGGGGGTGGGTGTGTGCCCGCGTGTGTTTTTTGGGGGGGGGGGAGGGGGGGGGGGCTGCAAAAGACACCATTTTGGCATAGTACGATCAATTCGACTCGCGTCCTTAAAAATCAAACGCTTTTTATTTTAAAGATTACTGTCGAATCAAGTCGAATTCAATCGAATTGCGCCAAAAATTGGTAGCCCATGCCACATCCCATAACTTCACTGATGCTTTAATTCTGGTGGTGTTTACCTGCGCTTTGAGAAGTGGTCTCGAGAATAACAATAAGTCATTAGAAACTTGACATTCACAGGGTTCAACTCTCTACTTTAAAATTTGGAGGGTTTTCAGTTACGGACGGGGTATCTCTAGAAGGTAAATGCATGTGTTGTTTTTGATGTCGAGATTTTTTGTTGAAATGATACGTTGAGACAAACAGGCATTTGAAGAGTTGCCGAAGGCTCGTTGATTTGCTATCAGGCGGAGTTTTTGTGTGTTGTGTTTATGGTTTTTGGTTGGGTTTTTAAAGGGTGGTTAAGACTTTCTTGATACTTCTCACGATATTTGAATGTTTTTAAATAATGCTGTTTACTAGATATTTCCAATGCTCACAAGATGAGATATTCAAATTTAAAAAGGTGAACAAATAAATATATCAGTCTCGAGGAATGTATTGTGAAAATGCAAATTACAAGTATTGACCAAAAAAGACCAAACAAGTAAAGATACAATATAAAATAAGTACAATTTTTTAAAGAATAAAACAGAGTTTTCTCTGTGAAAAAAAATTATCTTGCTTGAAGAAGGGTTTTCCTCGCGGAAGTCTGTAACTGAGATGCAAAATCCGTTTGTTTGTGTTTGAGCGCTTAATAGTAATAATAGCCTACTTTCACATCTTTACTTTCACCTCATGCTTCCACGGGAGCTACTACAACTTACTGATGATGGGGAATATGCCTTGTGAACATGCTATTTATTTATTTATTTATTTATTTATTTATTTATTTATTTATTTATTTATTTATTTATTTATTTATTTATTTATGTTTGTGTATTTATGTATTTATTATCTATAGTAACAAAAACTTTAAAAAATAACCATAAGGATACTGATTTGTAGTATCAGTAATGGTGGGTGGCGGGGTGAGATAGAGTGAAAAAGGGGGGGGGGAGTAATGGGT